ACTCTTTGTAACTCCATGGACTGTAGCCTGCCAGACTTCTCTGTCCACTGGATTGGGCTTAAGCCATTTGGATTATTCTCTTTGTGGGTGACTGAAAGACTCTTAATAAAAAAAACTTTAAAATAACACTTAGAACAATGCCAGACTCATGGTAGAATTCAGTAATTGTTAATAATTAATTGTAACTGTACAAGATTAAAAAAGGAAAATTTGACCCTTAAAGTAGCGCCCTGGCCTTCTGCTCCTGGTGATCTCATGAGGAATGGGGTGCAGCCCCACAATTTGGGGTGTTTGCATCAGTTTGGAGCTTGAGATAGAATAGGAACTAGATGACAATTCAAGGTCCAATAAAATCAAATACTGAACCTCAATAAATCATATAAGTTGAATATGTTGTGTCTCCCCAGGGGTTATTATTAATAACAATCCAGAGAAAGGAGATACTGGAATTGGCTGAAGTAACTGAGTAAAGTTTCCTGAGGATGATGGCTACTGAATCCTTCAGTCAACAAATATTGATTAAGCTCAGGGCATCCCATCTGGGAGGAACAGAGGAGGCAGGCTTGCCCTTTTCAGCCCAAGGCTCAGGCAGTACCACTGCTACCTTGGGGACCCGTGGGGGACATGCTGCTGTGCCTACCTGAATCCCGCCCCCCGGCCCTGCCGCAAAGCCCTTGTTTCAGAACATCCCAACAGACCCCTGTTGTGAACACTGAGACTTTTCTCCCAATCAGAAGTGCTAAGGAGTTCCCGTGCCCAGAAACAGTCCCCAGCCGAAGGTGATGGGAGTCAGTGGATAAAACCCCCATTTCCTTGTCCCTCTGGAGGGAGAGCTCTGAGGGCTGCTCCACACCATCTCTCAGAGGCTCATCTCCCGAGAACCGGCGCCGCTGGCTCCTGGCCTCCCCTTTCCCCTTCCCATAGCTGAGACCCATCAAGGCAAGTGAGTGGCTGGAGGAGAGCTGAGAAGCATTGCTGGAGAGACAAGAAATGGAGGGACATTTTGGATGTTTCCTCCTGAGGAATTAAGGAGACTCCCTCTGCCCTCTGTCTGCACCGGCTGGGCCAACCTGCCTTGTCCTTGGCTCCTCTTGTGTCGGTACAGGGAACTCTCATCTGGTGATTAACATGTCCCTGCAGTGTGTCCTCGCCACCTCCCAAGATGCTAAACTCTCTTTGGGGAAGCAGAGAGGTGCCAGGACCTTCTCCGCAGCATCCCAGGGGGCCCAGTGAGGGGGCAGTGATGGATCCAAGCTCCAGCAGCTTTTTGCTAGTTCCACCGAGGGATGGACAGCCAGGTGATGGTTTGTCTTTCCCTCCCCTGCTGGCACTCAAACACTCACCAAATGTGAGGACAGTCAGGAAAGAAAGAGGGGGAAAGGAAACTGCCCACGCGGCCAAGAAGCCAGGTGCGGTGTTTCATCAGGCTGAAGGAAGTTACATTCCTGTTGGCAGCCACTCCCTCCATTCCCCACTGTCCCCCGCCCTCACCCCCATTCAGCTCACTTAAATATCCCCTGGGCGTCCCAGATAGCTCAGTGGGTAAAGAATCCGCCTGCAATGCAGGAGACCCTGATTTGACTCCTGGGTTGGGAAGATCCCCTGGAGAAAGGAACAGCTACCCACTCCAGTATTCTGGCCTGGAGAATTCCATAGACTGTATAGTCCACAGGGTCGCAAAGAGTCGGACACGACTGAGCAACTTTCACTCCATTCAGCTGGCTTAAACATCCCCTTTGGTTTTCCAGGAGGAATGGGTGGAGTTTGAATGTGCCTTTTCCTCCAACATTGCATGTCTGGGGACAGGATTGTTGTGGGTTCCTTTGGCAACCACGTGGAGAGAGTCATTGTAGGCCAAGGAAGAGACAAGGTTGCACCTGGTGCCAGCGTGGAGCTGGGGTCGGCTCCATGCCCTTCTCAGATGCCCGATCCGCTAAGGCCATACACTTCCCCTCTGACCCAGGGTCGCTGTCCTTTCAGCTCAATGCTTCAGTCTCCCCATCTGGGGTGTTAAGGGCTGCCCTCGGTCCAAGTTTGCTGAAGTGTGGTGGAGCAAGGACAGATCGCGTAAGGAAATATTTGATTTCCTGTCCAACTCTTTGACATTTTCTCATTTCATCTAGAAGAATCTCAATCTCATGTCTGCCACCCCCAAACCCTGAAAAAAAACCCTCCGTTTCAAACAAAGCAGGGCTCGCGCTCAGACTCTTTGGGCAAGGTCTCCAGGCAGATTTCATAATGTTTCATTTCCATTGCCTTTCTTTTCACAGTTCCCATCTATTTATTATGGAAAAGAAAAATGATTTTCTACTTCCAATCCTTTGTAAAGAAATCTATTAATTTTTTTAAGGCGAACTGATTTATAAACAAACATTGGAAAATGACGTTGATGCGCATCAAAGAGAATGCGCTTATGAAAGTGGTGCCATTTGCGTCCAGCAAGGCTGGCATGGCCAGTGCGTCCCCAAATGCGGAACCCGGACACCTGCCTTCCTCCCAAATTTAGTGTCCCTGTGGCTCAGAAAATGGCTCAAAGTTTGGGACAAGCATGTGAAGCTGAAACCACCTGTTCATGATGGGTGAACAGGGAGAGATTTTTAAAGAAGATGCCCCACGTGTCCAAACCTAAGGGTGGGGTCTGCTGATGAGGTTTCAGGAAGAAGGGACACAGGGTGGCTGAAACAAGAGAGACCTCATAGCCAGGATCTGGGCAGGCAAGCTCAGCGGCAGTCACGTGGCAAGGGCAGTGGTCATCTGGCCTTGGAGGAAAAGCTGCCCATCTCTTTGGGGTTTGTCTGCAGCTGCCCTGGGAACTGGCCCCTGGCCCTCCTTCCTCTGTCAAAACTGGCCCTTCTAGAGGAGGGGGCAGCCCTTGGTTCTAGAGCAGCCCAGAGCTGCAGACACACAAGAGCTGCAGGCAGGCGGCCTTCAGAGCAGGGAGGAGGAGGCAGAAAGGAGTCAGTGAGGCTGGCCCCTGTGATGGCCTCGCCGACTCCTCCCTGCAGCCCACAGAGAGCCCCAGCCTCTGCTTCCTTCTCATAGTTGGGGAAACAGAGGCTCAGGTGTTGAGGGGCCCCCAGGGACACAGGAAAGAGCAGAGCAGGCAGGAGCCTCAAGTCTCTTCCCGCCACACACTCCATCCTGGTGAGGCTGGAGCGATACATCTGACAGCGAAGCCTACCCACCTTCTGGTACGAGAGGCGAGAACTGGCCCATGCTGGCATTTGAGGCCTTCAGTGGAGCAGAACGGGGGGCATGCCTACAGGGGACAAGGTCTTCCTGCCCATCGGGGACTCGCTCTTCTCACCTGCGCTCAGACTCTGGGTGGCAAAGCCCTATTTCTGGGAACTGAGGACGCTCCTCCACTCCCAGTCTGCCTGGCCCCTTTGGCCCACAGAGGCGGAGGCCAGGAGATCTGAGACTTTGTCCCTCACCTTCTCCACCCCCTCCTCCCTCATGTCCTTCCCTGGAGGAGGTGGGCCTGGAGCTGGGTCCAGGCAATGGCGATATGCCCTCTTAAGAGTGGGAGCAGCCCGAGCTAGAGGACAGAGTGGGTGTGACCTCAAGAGTGGGCTGAGTAGGGACACGGGATGACCACTGTGGTGTTCAGATAGGAGACAAGACCTGGCATTCAGATGGTACCCCCTCCAGCCTCTCAGGATCCACGCGGATCTCCTGATCTACCCACACGTGTCGGGGATACAAGAAGCCAGACACACCCCTGGGTCAGATTCTCAAAACCACCTCAGTCTCCAGCCAAGCTCCTCCCAGAAGGCAGTCAGATAGTGGACTGTGAGGATGGACAAAAACCCACACGCAGACACACAGCTCAGCACAGCTGCCCCAAGGGCCCCTGGATGTCAGGAAAGAAACAAGGCCAGCCTGGATGCCCTGCCCTCTCTGGACATGGCTGACCTCTGCAATCCGGGTTCCTGGTCCATCAGCCAGTCCCTGGAGTGTGTACTCTGCTTCCTAAAAGGACTATGAGGCCCTTGAGCACCCTGTACTGGGTTCTTCAATGCCAAAGACCAGTTACTCGATAGAACATTCAGCAATTAATTTGGTTCCCAAAAGGCTGGTCCATAAATCATGGAGAATGTGGTTTCTCAGAACAGACTGTTTCTTGCCCAGGAGGAACAACAGTGCAGCATGATTTCAGAGCCAAAGCAACTGAGCAGGAAATTGAAGATCTGTGCTTTGCCATCATCTCAGATCACTGCTTCAGCTCCATATTAACCACCCTTCATATATCTGTATCTACATATTTTTTCTTATAAGAACAAATTATCTGCCATGGAAAGGTACACACCTTATGCTGTGATCATGGGTTATGTCTGCCCCTCACGGGCAGTGCACAGAAAAGGCAGGACCAGCGGCTCCACCCCTCACCTAGACAAGTACCTCTCTGTTGAGCTTGACTATTAGCAGCTGTCTTCCCAGGGAAAGTGGCGTCCTGGGGTGTCAGGACTTGGGGCAGAGCACGGATGAGGTGGTGATGACCCTGGTCCACTGAGCATCCCTTCAATTTGCTCTACATGGACAGTGGGGGTACGAGGGAGCAGAGGTGGGGACCCCTGTGCCCCAAGCATCTAGCATCCTTGTTCTTGGGTGTCCTTCCTGCTCACAGCTCTGTGCCCAGGTTGTCCTCCAGTTGTAAACTCCTCCTCAGAGCCCTAGCCCTTCATCTGCCCCAGGAATGTCTCTCTAGCCCTGGACAGAGGCCAAACCCAAAGGGCCAGCTAGAAACCCAGCCACGTCCAGTTTCCAGGTCGTCAGCCCAGTAATAAGGGGCCTGCAGGCCAGGAGGGGGTGACAGTGATGGTGAGGAGGCGACGTGCTTCTTGGCCAGGCGGACATGTCTGTGCTCCCTTCACAGGGTGACCCTCTCTGTGGCTTGACTCCAAGTTTCCCCTGGAGCAGGCAGGGCAGATGTGACCTCCCGTTTCACAGACCAGGAGCCTGTGAATGGGCTGGACTAACCAGAGACTGCATGGCTGAGGATGAGAAAGTCTGGGATCTCAGCTTGGCCTGACCCAGGGCTCCCCACCGCATCCCACCTGCCTGCTGCCCTCTGTACTTCCTTGTCTTGGCCACACTGGGGGCACCCAGGGAGCAGAGCGGGGGTGATAGAGGGCTGGAACCAAGGCACAGACGAGAACACACTGGCCATGTCTCAGCTGAGCCCTGGCACCAACACCCTGAGGAGGAGGAAAGCCCAGGGACAAAGGGACTCAGGGGCCCGGAGAACCCCAGCTCTGGCTCCAAATCGGCCAGAAGCCTGCAGCCTCCTAGGAGCCTGCCAGGGCCTCCGCGTCTGACTCACCTGTCATTGTGACCTTAGCCCTTTCCTCAGCCCACCCACTCTACCATTTACAGGATCAACTTTAGATGGACTGACTTTTTAAAACTTAACCTGCTCCTAAGCAATGCTCTCCATGACATCCCAGGTAGGAGGAACCAGAAACATTTTCTAATACCAACTAAGATCAAATGCCCAATTGTCACGAAAACCAAAGCTCTCCACCTGAGTTCCATCAGAAATCTCCCACAGCGGTGGGTGTGCAGATCCAAGCTAAGCTGATGAAACATCGGAAACACTTGGCCCAGCACTGGTACACAGTAGGCGCTTAATAAATGGGAGGTCTTCCTGTGGCCTGGGAAATGTCTTTGCTGGATCTCTCTGATCTCTGCATCAGAGTATCTGCCCCATCCTCCGGACTGCCCACCTTGTTGTAAGTCTCCTGTTCCTGCATCTCTCCTGGCCGGTTGCCTTCAGCCCTGACCTGTGCATTTCCTTGGTGGCAGTTGTGAGAGTCTGTCCTTGTGCCTTTAGCTCTGCTGGAGCCTGTTTACTACCTGTAACCACAGGGTGTGTCAAGCTGAGGGCAGGGACCGTGCTGTCTTTGCCACTGATTCCTGAGCCCGAAGAACAGTGCCTGGGGGAAGGAGCTGCTTAATAGGTATTGGGGATGGGGAGGAAAGGAGGAGGGATGGAGAGGTAGGACAGGGCTGAGTCTTCCAGACACTGGGGGCTCCTGGTGGAGGCTGTTTAGGCTCTTTGGGGGATGCTGAAAGTTGCTCCTGTGTACTGAGAAGGAAGCCATAGTAGATAATTCAAGTCTCCTCCCCGAAATAACATGAATATTTTATATTTCTGCAGATGTGGGGTCTGCTGTCTGCATTAGTCATGGATGTTAGTAATAAACAGGACCCTGCATCATTAAAAAGAGGTTAAAGGATGCTGAATAAGTTCTGCTAACTAAGGCAGGAGCCCCTGAGAAGGATCCACAGTGAGATCTACCAGGGCCAGCCAGAAGAGAGGAAGTCTGGATGCTCAGATTGGTTTCTGTTTCCCCTTAACTGAAAGCTCACTTATCTGGAACACCATGCCCTGCCAGGCCTGGGGCCTTGATGCCAAACTTCTAGGTGGTTTTACTGAGTTCTGACAGTCTTTGACCACGCTCACTTGAACTATTGATTCAAATCAGCAGCTTCCCTTGCAGTTTATTTTTTCAATAATGTTAATTTTAGGAATTCATTAAGTGAGACCTGACAGTGTGCCTGCTTCTAACACGTATAATGAGCCAAGTCATGAAATCGGGTGATGCACAAACTCCAGGTAATTGGCTGAGCATCACTGACCGGCATGGCCCTCGGCCCTGGAAACACAAACCCCATCATCCACCGAGACCTGAAATGACCCCCATGCTGCCTCAGATGCCCATCTCAGAGCCCGAGTGAAACTCTTCCCACAAGGCCAAGTGAGTCATCTTGTTTTTGAAGTTCGTGGTATTACAGAGGTAGTCAGCCCCAGACCGTCATCATTCATTCCAGAGTTTAATATCCTGAGACATCAGGAAGTTTTCCACAGTATCTAAATTAAATTCTTTCTCCTGAAGCCCAGATCCATTTCCTCCTGAGGAGATAGCAAATTGCCAGCCACAAGCATCATGCAATAAGCAGAGATTCATAGGTTTTGTAGGATTATCTGATCCAAACCCTTCTTCCTGGAGGAAACTGCATTCGTAGGTGGGCACAGTTCTTTGCAAGACCGCACAGAGAGCTGGACACAGTGCTGGTCTTAGAGTCCAAGACCTGGGCGTCCTTTACCCACCCCCGACCCAAGACCACTCCCCATCATCCCACACAAGGTGTCTGAGGGGCAGGGTAGGGTAATGCCAAAGCTGTGTTTCTTGAAAGACTTGGAGAGAGAAGCCATGGTTACTGTTGGCTGTGAAAGTAAAAGAAAAACTGCCCAGCCTCACTCAAGGCAAGAACAATGCAAATAAGGCCCCTATCAGATTGGCAAGAGCACAGCGTTTGGCAACATCCTGCCATGACTTGGCCTGTGGACACCCTGGAACGCCACCACTGGCAACATCCATTCAGATGGAAGACGAACACACCCTTTGACTCGGCAACTCCCTTCTAGGAATTTGCCCCAAAGACATTCTCCCATGCCAGAAACTACAGAGGTACCAGGAGGATGACTGACCCTACACACACACACACACACACACACACACACACACACACAGAGGCATACAGCATGGCTCTGTGAGTTATGGCTCATGCACACCTCTCTGCAAGCCATCTCAAGAATGAGTCAGGTCCACCTGCATTGATTCGGAGCTGTCCCCCAAGCCGCTTGTCAATTGAGTAAATCGAGGCACAAAAGAGTACTTGTTAGATGCAGCTGTTTGAATAAAAAGTAAAAAGAGGGTCATTATGCATAAATAGGTGGCGCTAGTGGTAAAGAAACTGCCTGCCAATGAAGGAGACAGAAAGACATACATGGTTTTGATCCCTGGGTTGGGAAGATCCCTTGGATGAGGGCATGGCCACCCACCCCAGTATTCTTGGTTGGAGAATCCCATGGACAGAGGAGTCTGGCAGGCTATGGTCAAGAGGGTCACAAAGAGTCAGACACGACTGAGTGACTTGACTTAGCACATGCATACATATGTGCGGAATATGCATATGAATGACATAGCCCTGGAAGGATGTCCAAGAAATCGTGTGCTGTTGTTTGGAGGAGGGGGACTGGAGAACTGGGAAGGGGACTGGGAGGGGCTAGAAACTGATTTTCCTTCCCACCTTTTGTTCTTTTGGAATTTTTCAGCTGTGAGTCTCACCCGCATGTTTATGCAGGTACTGATGTTACACAACGAATTTGATCACCACCTGTAACATCAGACTGATCTGGCTTGAGGGCCAGCTGCACTACGATACTCGAGACTCGTTAGAGTCTGGGACTCGGTTTCCTCATCTGTGGAATGGGGAGAATCCTGATCTAAGGCAGCCAAGACAGGGCATGGTTTGTGTCTTCCAGGGAGGCGACGGTTTTGCCAGCTGTCCTGTGGAACCCCCACAGTGGTGGGGGGAGTGTCAGACCTGGTTTTGTTTTTAAGGGTCAGAGCGGATCAGGCAGATCTGGGCCACAGGGTGCAGGGTGTCTGTGGCCCCACAGGCCTAGCCTGCCCCCCCGCCACCAGCCTCCGAGCTCCCCCAGGACCTCCTGTCCACACTCCACGCTCACTTTTCTCCACCTGCTCCTCCAACTCAGATCAGCTCCATCCTCCATCTCATCAAATCATAATTCACGGTTTTCCCCAAACCCACTCCATGTTAGAATCTTCTAGATCTTTGTCTCATCATCCCCAAGACTCCAACACACAGGATTTGGGGTTTTCTGTCTGGAGAGAATCCTAAGGACCATCCCACGAAGGGGTGTGCTCCAGACCCCACAGCGAGCTGGTGCTCTTCCTCAGCACACCTGCCCCAACTCAAAACACTGCATCCTCACTCAACTGCATCTCCCTGACCAGGGCGGCCCTGCAGCCTCTCCCCACCCAGTCTCCTCTGTCACATCAGCGTGATTACATATCATCTACGTCTCCCTGGATTATAAACTCCAAGAGGCCAGGGAACCGGGATTATCCACCATGACATGGTCCCTCCCCAGCATCCTGTGCTCATTGGAGCTCAGCCAACATCTGCTGAAGGGATGATGAGAGCACATAGGAAATGTTTTCTCTCTTTAAACGGTTCTCCAGAACCCCTAAGAGCGCTCCCCCTGCCTGTCCTCTGTGGTCCAGGCGCCCATGTCTGGCACTCACAGCTCCTAGCTGGGTCAGACTCCCCCACCATCACCCTCCCCCCATCAGAGCCTGCAGCCCCATCAGACACCCACACCAGGGTTCACCTCTGGATCGTCCCCCTCCTGTCACTCACACCCTGGACACCCCTTTCCTAGGCAACTCTGACCAGCCTTCAGACTGCCTCCCCCTCCAGGTGGCCTTCCTGGCCTATCCAGTGAGAACACACACCCTCCCTCACCTGTGCCAACCCCGGAGACACTCAAGTCAAAAGCTGCATTTCTCTGACCCCTGCAAGCACAAGCACGTGGGTTTTGGGCAAAGCCGGGACCTCCTGCTTCCCCGCAAAGCAGGATGGGAAAGGCCCTGCAAGGCTCAAACCCTGATCCTCCTGGGCTCTTGCGAGAGCTCCTCAACCACAGCTCAGCTCTCCCGCCCAGCATGCAGCTCCTCCCATCTGGTGGTTGTGACAGTTAACTGAGGGAATGAGTTGAGCAGCATAGTAAGCAATCAAGGATCAGCTGTCATCATCACCATCATCCCCCTCATCACCATTTTTGAATGCGCTGACTCAGCCGCACACATCCTTTGTGGGAGCCCATGAACGCGTCTGCTTTGCCGCTCTGCCGCTGCACCAATGGGCACCCCGAGCAAGGAGAGACCAGCTGACCCTTCCCTGTGCTTCAGGGTTTGCAGAGAGCGAGACATCAAAGGCCCCGGGGGGCTAAGGCTGTCTGGCAGGATGGAGCAGGCACTTGTTTGGGGTGGGGGCGGGGGCGATGAATCGATGTTGCTGGATAGGTGTTGATCACAGTCACCTTCCCTTGCACCTGCCAGCATCCTGCAGGGCCAGCAGCTGCCACTGTGGTCCACACGGCCCCTACCCATTAATATATCCGCCCAGCGAAGGCATAAGTGATGGCTTATCATCCTCAGGAGTTGGCTTGGGAGACTTGGCCCTGGACCCTATGGGGCAGAGCCTGGGCAACCTGACACATGGGCCATCGAAGAGAAGAAACAAGTCCTGGAGAACAGAGGCCCCGTCCACACAGGACCCTCAATTGCTTTGTGTGATCCTGAAACTGAGGACTTTGGAAGAACACTGTCCCAGGGGCTGCCCTGGTGGAATCTGGGCCTGCTATCCCTCTCTTGACAGCCTGACAGCACCTCCTTGGGGAACTTCTACTGTGTTAACTGAGAAAAGCCTGCTCACTACTCTC